TACGATAAATTTTTAATATTGTTATTACTAATAGTAATAGTAAAGAAGATAATGAAATTTAAATTTGCACCAAAGTCACCAAAGAATACACTAACCTACCAAAAGTATACAACAATCGATAAAAGTAAGATCAAATTTAAATTACTCAACAATAACAAGTAATGATGTAAAGATTCTGAGATTTAGACCAAATAAACTATTATCAATTTTAATTAAGCCATTAAGTTTTTGTCTTACATTTATATGAAGATAAAAATTTTTACTAAGGCACATATTTTGGGTAATAAATCGACGAATTTATGCTCTACGGAAACTTTTTTGTTAAATTATTGGACATAATAAATAACGTTTTATTTTATTTACTTTAAAGCACTGCCAATGTACGGTTTTTTAAAAAAATTTGCTAGAATATCTTGGATATATGCAGAGATATAAATTTTTAAAAAATAAACTACTTTATTTGAAGTAATTGCAGTAAAACAAAAGATTCAACTTGAATTGCTCAACAATAATGGTGTAAATTTAGATTCAAAAAAAAATTACTGCTAAAATTGGTTTATGATAGTTTTTAAAAAATACATATACATAGTAAACCAAATTTTTTTACTTGAGATTGCTTTTTAGGTAATAAAATGGTATAATTATACATTAAAATTTTTACTTTTATTACTATTACCGAAAATAACAAAGTACAGTTTTTTTTGTTTGTTTTAAACCGTAGGCCCGAGATAAAATTGTATTTAAAAATTAGTTAAATTATCTTAAGTATTTGTAGAAATACATATTTTTCTATAAAACCCCTTATAAAATAGCATATTTCTACAACTACTGCTGAGACATACTGAAAATTCCTTAAGAATTTTGTTGGCAAGCCATTTGTTAAATTTACAAGGCTTAGGTATGATTAATATGGGGTTACATTGCCGTTTGTTGCGATAACAGCTTCTATTCTATTGTTCATACTCTTTATTAAATTTCTATAATACTCCCGTGGAATAAGATTCCACTCAGTTTGGAGAAAATTCATTAACTCCCGTTCATTCTTTGGTGGAGGCATTCTCCTATGAACACGTCTTCCCAATTCATCCCATAAATGTTCGATAGGATTGAGGTCTGGACTTTGACCCGGCCAATCTAAGACTCTTATCTCTGATTGTTCGAGAAACTGCCGAGTCATGTGACTTGTATGGATTGGGGCGTTGTCATGTTGGAAGATATAAACAGCTTTTTTCGGCCGTAAACGGTATAGTTGCATTTTGCAACACTTCTTCAACATATCTTTGACTATTAATCTTACCTTCTAGTCTTGTAAGATGCCCCAGTTCATTCCAAGTAAAACATGCCAGACCATAACACCGCCTCCACCATGTTTGATTGTAGGAACAACGCAGTCAACCTTATATCTCTCATTCGGTAATCTCCAAACTCGTATTCTGCCATCATTTTGGAATAAAGTAAACCTTGATTCGTCGCTCCATACAACCTTTTTCCAATCTTCCAACGACCAATCACTTTTTTTTTTTAGCCCAAGCCAGGCGATTTTTTATATTTTTGTTACTCAGCAAGGGCTTATGTACAGCAACACCCCCATGTCACGTAACTTCCGCCTAATTGTGGACTTGCTAACAACTGTTCCACTTGATTTAGCCAAATTTTCACGAATTACACTAAGTGGTTGCTTGCAATCACTTTTTACGATCCATTTTACTGCCTCTCATCTCTCTCCGTTAATATGCAAGGCCTGCCACTACGTTTTGCAACTGTAGTTGCCCTATTTTCTTTATATTTGGCAATAACAGTGTGTGCAGTGTTTCTGGAACTACCTAATTTCTCACCAATCTCCTCTTCTGTAACGCCAAAACTGCTAGCACCCATGATAAAACTACGCTCAAAGTCAGTTAATTCAGTTCCTTTGGTATAAAGATGTAAACAAAAGATGTAAATCTTGACTATCTTTATCTATGAATAGATATTTATGGTAATAATGTTTGTTAATAATACATTGCATTATAAATCTTTTAGAGAAAAGTTGTATCACTAGCTATTATTTAACTTTTTTAAGCAATATATTTAAAAATTTTATATCTCCACATATATCCAAGATATTCTAGCAAACTTTTTTTAAAAAACGTATCAAGGGTAGTGCTTTAAAGTAAATAAAATAAAACGTTATTTATTATGTCTGATAATTTAACAAAAAAGTTTCCGTAGAGCATAAATTTGTCGATTTATTACCCAACATATGTGCCTTAGTAAAAATTTTATCTTCATATAAATGTAGTCAAAAACTCAATGGCTTAATTACAATTAATAATAGTTTATTTGGTCTAAATTTCAGAATCTTTATATCATTACTTGTTATTGTTGAGTAATTTAAATTTGATCTCACTTTTATCGATTGTTGTATACTTTTGGTAGGTTAGTGTAGGTTATACTCATCAATGGCTTTGGGTCCGAGTATTTTCCTCCCATGCAATCACTCAATTGTATCAAAGTCGCAAAACGCGAATTAAAACTCAACGGATGCGCTCAAGCAGTCTTTATCAACAACAATCCGACGACTATAATCGGAGGAAAAAAGCGTCACATGTTCATAGAGTAGAAAAGTGTACGTTTTGAAGAGTTTTGATGTAGCATTGACGATTGTCAATATTTAGATTGCATTATAAGATCAGCAATACCTCGGGGGACAGAGCAATTAATTGAATACGGTATTGATTTTCAAGCTCTTGACAGACGGTTTATTCAAACCTCGCTATTTCTTACTATGATAATATGCAGGATCGTATAAGAAATATATGTAATTATCATATTGATTTTTAAAATTTCACAGTAGTCGCTTTCTGCCAAACCGTTTTATATTTAGGTTACCTTCAAGATGAAATTACAACAAAGTTATGAAGCAATTTATTCTCTCTTTTCTTGTAAGACGCGTTATAATAATACGGTGAATGTCAGTGGTTTTAACATTTATTTTTCAACAAAATGCTTTGAACCAATCCATTTACTAACCTCAGTCATATTTTTTGTATAATAATCTTGTATCTTGCTTTCTCCACTACAGTGTCACCCTTTTATGGTCCATAGAGGCTCACGCGAGTATTTATGATGTATTCTATAATATGAAGTCACACAAGGTTTACTTACAATAACGTTCACTTCAAATAGCAATTAACGATATTTCCCTCTGGCTGTTTCTATATCTTCTCCAGGTATTCATATCAGAACCAAGCGTTTAATTTAAATGATCAAGACGAGGCCTATTATAATTATACTTGTAATTATATTTAAGCATACGCAATGACCATTGTAATTCTGCATGACTCTTGGATAGAATGACCGAGCAAAAAGCTTCCAATTTTTCTTATCATACCAATTTGTCCATGAATATGCCCATATGTGAGCAAGATCCTTTTGTAGACAATATTGATATGTTTCAAGGACACATGGTCACGTACGCTTGTATCAAGTAGATGTGCTGGGTAAGAACAGATCCATTTATCTGTGTCTATGTGATAATTTCTAACGTTCAATATTCTTTTCAAGGCCCTCCTTCCAATCGCTTTTCAAGTTTGACCACCAAGACGGGATACTCGGTTAGTATTCGACAACATGACGGAGAATATTCAGTTTATCTGAAATGAATACTTCGTCGAGCGAGGTTCTTGGGAATTGAATATTGCCTTTCAGGTGGTCAACACTTCTGTAACAAACACCAAGTTCATTCTCTTTGTCGGCATCACGGAGCAAGTATCAGCCTTGATTATAGAGCTTAGACAAATTCTCTTCAATCTCACCTTGAGTACAAAGGGGATGAATTTACTACTGAAATCCGTTGATTCCAAGCGATGGACTTAGTGAAGGGGTCTTACCCTTTGGATGGGATATGGTAAATCAGTATTTCATATAGCCATTTTTGGGACTATTTGTGCGATCAATATGATGCAATCTACTATTTTTAACACATTGTAAAGATTGAACCCACATTTTCTTTGTTTGTTGTCTCAATCTCAGCTTATAACATCTATCTGCGCAATATAAACCTTTCCTTTTTCTTATGTAAACCTTCCTTTTTATTATCTTTTGGCAATGATCAACCTTTCAATTTTAAAGTTACTAGATACTAATAGCTAGTAGCCATTGCTATGGTGGGAAAAAATGCTTGTCGGGAAGTCACCGTTTATATATATTAATATAATTTGGCAAACAAACATATATATTAATATTAAAATATATTGCCTTACGACATATTAATATAATAATTAGATCGTTTTGTTTATATGAAATTCCATAATTTTTTTTTCTATTAGTAAAACCGAATCTTATGAATGTTATTATTATACCAGTTTCAGTGCAGTGGTTCTAGCGTTGTCGCTTACCTTTATGCCGCTCCACAGCAACTAACGACTAATTTCCTCATTTCCATGTGTTTGTCCTAAAAATAAACATGAGAACATTTTATTAATGTAAAAAAGGCTTAAATTCGAAGGCTTTTTTTTAACACGCTAATTTAGTGTACAAAAAAAAATTCACTGTCTAGCTCTAAAAATTTCCCAACTTAGTTAGTATATTATCAAACACGTTCTACGTGTATTCTATTTGTCAACCCATTCATAGCATGTGCTTAACTATTACTGTTGCGGATTTTACTCAAAACCTTAAATAAGCTTAAAAACCCAATATTGCCAAATTACTGTACTTGTACCTTTTTGTAGTAAAATATTAGTGTTATTTTCCTGCATGTAACAAATAAAGTTGTACAATATTTTTGTGTAAATTTTAACCCAATGACATATTACAACATATTAATTGATTAAAAATTTTTTATTTCCATAGCAATAGGCTAAGACAAAACACCCTTTTCCAAACTCGTATTTTCTTTTCCCTCTGCTGGCAGATTGGAAAGACGCAAACCATGAATCGAAATTAAAGACAAGTATACGTTTACCGTTTACGACTACAACGCATTACTCAGCGACACGCTCTTGGGCTTGTACAGTCTAGAATTGAAAGACTTTGTCAAGCATTGCGCGGATGGCCATGTCGAAGGCAAGCGCGTTGACAAATACGTGGACTTCAGATACAAGGGACCTAAGAAAGGACAATTGCACGTTATCAGTGTGACTTTTATTCATTTACCGACTTTGACGTGGACAATGGAACTAAAATTGAAATCAGCATCATAAATATTCGTTGTCCTTCCCATCACACTTCAGCTTCTTTCGTACTTAACAAGCGCTTGGCAACTTTATATCCAGGCTGAACTTATCTCTGCACTTACAGCTCGACCACTGCAGTCCTTGTGACTTCATTCTTGAGAATCCTATTATGGAAACATAGTAATGAGTGGATTGGAAGCTGTGCAAAGACGGAAGAATGGCTCAATGTAAATATCAATGGTGTAGACATCGAAGAACGTCTATATATTGCTCTAATCGCTTCGTGATCGAACACTTTAAATTCGATCAGTGGGAAAGCGAGGAACACAAACAAACGTATGGTTGTCACTACGACTCAACAGACAATTATCACTCGACGTACCGTCACCGTCTCCCGCATCGTGTCATATCAAATTGATTTTGGAAAGCTATTACGGAAAGTTCGAAACAATGGATTAGCTCTCAGGTTTATGACGTGGAGGATGAGGATCATCTGTTTGACGCCGTATGCAACTTCATCTGTGGTATGTTATATATGCATAGTCGTTACTACTTTATTCGAATAAACATTAACGTTTTCTTTTTTTTTTTACTTCCCACTTTTTCGTTTTTGTAAAGTTATTACGGGTACATTCATTACACGCAAAACCATTACCATCCGTATTATTCGTCACTTCTTGACATACCAGACAGCCTTAATGACAAGATAGCTGCTTTTTCTATGGCTTTCAAAGTACCACGGCGTTTACGGAACGAAAGTTCTTCAAATCTGATCATGTTAAAAAGGGGCACGTGGATGTCTGGGTTACGGCAGTCACTCTGTGGTATATGAGACTGGTCATCAGGCGGATTGGACTGAACGATACAACTAGTCTTATGTTTGGCTAAAGACACAAATTAACCAAGATGCTCAGCTTGAAAAGGAAATATTCGAATCTGAAAGAAATGGGTAATTGAGAGATACCAAGTTGACAAAGAGGTTCTAGTCGCTGACGACAGTTTTGTAAAGGAACAAGAGAATAAAACCAAGCTTACCGAAGAAAGAAGGTACATTCCTTTGAAATTTAAGGGAATAATACTGATTTTTTTATATCTTCGACAAAATATACTGATTTTTTGAAAAATTGTTATTTTGACACCCAACAGGCACTGTAATCTTATACTCTCAGCTATGTCAAGAAATATATTTCGTTCCAGAAACACGATGGGCAGTTCACCTTGGATGCCGAATTTGTTAGACTACTCGGCTTTAAGACTTTGAACAAGTAATTAACGTCTACATCAAATCGAAACGCGTATCTAAATTAGACATCTATTTCCACTGCGTTTCTCTCTGGTATTTGCGCTTGGTTGCTGAAGAGCTTATCCTGTCGTTCCAATCCAGCACTTCTGGTGAACGACTTAAAAAACTCGACAAGTCTATCATCGTTTCGGTCTTTATCACATCATTCCTCAGGGCTCTTATGGAAGCACAAAAGTGGATGGATACCATCACATACAAAAACGGGAAACATGGATTAGTGAATCAATTAATGATGTACACAGAAGTGAATCGCTACGTTATCAAACATTAC